ACAAGAGCGCGTACAGTTTTCAACAACAACAACATACCCACTATAGACAAAAACTCACACATACAGACAAGTAGAATAATCAACAATTAAAATAACCAACATACCTACAGACCAATGTGGGCATAAAAGGAACAATTCAAATAAACAATGCTGAAGCCATAACACTACATGAAACAACCCAAAAAAAAAACGCAAAATAGACAAACCCAAGAACAACAAAATACATAACAGATGTTCCACGAATAACAAAAGCAACATGAGATCTAATCCAAAAAAAAATTTAAAAAAATTGTTAGAACAAGGATGAAATGGACATACCTGAATAAAGTTGATAATGAGGCCGGATAGAAGGAAGATAAGACCAATAGGAAGAATAATGGCAGCGGCGATTGCCATATTTGCTTAGAAATTAGCATTTAGCCACACCCAAAAATGATGGATTCAAGAGACATGTTGAGGGATGTATAATTGACAGTTTATATGAATCAACCATGTGAAACCCCAACTGAAATTTAAATAAGTAAATAAGAAAATAAAAATATTAAATTAGTTTGAATAAATACATTTCGATTATAAAATGGTTATATTAAAAAAAATAAGTAAATCTTTTTCGGGAGTTTTCATACTTCAAGTATCAGTTGTTGTTTTTGTCCACATAAACATTGGTTGAGGACAAGATGTGAGAAGGGAGGTTGAGATGGTTTAGGCATACGACAGGAAATGCTAGAATGTCCTAATGTAGAGGTGTGAGAGGTTGACTACGAATGATTTAAGGAGAGATAAATGTAAATCGGAGGAGTATTGATAGGGAGGCTTTTGGGTAGGGCATTGTGTAGTTTCACCTATCGAGGATGTGACCTTTGATAGGAGGGTGTGGAGAGTACGAAGTAGGATAGAAGGTTAGTAGGTAGCTAGTAGGATACATGCAAACGAGAGAAGTATTAAGGAGAGACTATTAGTTAGGACATTACATAGTTTCAGCTTATCGAGGATGTGACCTTAGATAGGAGGGTGTGGAAAGTACAAATTAGGATAGAAGGTTAGTAGGTTGTAGCTTGTAGCTTGTAGGATAGATGCAAACGAGAGAAGTATTGAGGAGAGACTATTAGATAGGACATTACGTAGTTTCACCTTATCGAGGACGTGACCTTAGATAGGAGGAAGTGGAGAGTATGAATTAGGATAGAAGGGTAGTAGGTTGTAGGAAAGATGCAAACGGGAGAAGTATTGAGGAGAGACTATTAGATAGGACATTACGTAGTTTCACCTTATCGAGGACGTGACCTTAGATAGGAGGAAGTGGAGAGTATGAATTAGGGTAGAAGGGTAGTAGGTTGTAGGAAAGATGCAAACGGGAGAAGTATTGAGGAGAGACTATTAGATAGGATATTACGTAGTTTCACCTATTTGAGGACGTGATCTTAGATAGGAGGGTGTGGAAAGCACAAATTAGAGTAAAAGGTTAGTAGGTATGTGTGTTGTCTTGATGCTCGTTCATATTAGTAATGGTATTACTCTTGTAGTTTTTTATTTTTCATACTTGCAATTATCGTATTATATTGTTGTACTTTATGTTACTTTTTGTACTTCAGTTACTCTTTTTTGGACTGTTTTTGACTATTTTCCTTACGTTGAAGGTCTACTGAAAATAGTCTCTCTACTTCCGAGGTGTAGATAAGGTCTAGGCGGGTATACTCTACCCTCTTGGAACCTCACTTTGTAAGATTACACTCGTAATTATAGTTGTTTAACTATCACCACTTATGAATAAAAAAAACACCTCAAAGCTAATTAGACTAACTCTTGGTTCTCTTTTTCTACCTAAACTATATACAACTTAATAACTGTGGATCCGAAATTAAGCCTCTTGGTCCGATAAGTCATAAATTGTTGTACAATCCTAACCTATAATGACAAAATAATTCTTGGACATGTGTAATCTAACTCATATTTACTTTTATACTAATAATCTTCTCAAAACTATACACACTCTCGTAATCATCATTATATATATAAAAGAGAACTCAAGGTCCACATACGTGGCACCATCACAAACAAAAGTTCCCTTTTAATTTATTTATTTTAAAAACAAATTTCTGTTTTCATGAAAAATTGTGACTTTTATGAAAAACAGTAACTTTCATGAAGAGTTGTGACTTTTATGAAGACTTGCGATTTTTCTATCGAAAGTTAATAACTTTTATGAAGAGCTGCGACTTTTATAAAAAATTGTAACTTTTATTAAAGGTTGTAACCTTTCCGAAGGGTTGTAATTTTTTCAAAGACTTTCGATAAGGCACAATAAGAATTTGTTCATACTACCCTTTGGTGTCTATAAAGAGAAGGGTTTTCCTGCCACTATTATTCTTAGGTATTATTCTGTTGTAGGGTAGTCGAATTCAAATACATTAAGTAAGCTTCTTATGAAGTTTGTTTCATTGTTCAAAGTTTTCTTCCTCCTATTTCATGGAGCTTAATATTTACTACAAGTCATGCTAATTCATATAATTATAACAATTTATTTTTGCTATTTTGGTGACTTTTTTTTAATATGTTAAAAAATTCAGCAAAGATGATTGAAAATCGATCTTCTATTTTGTCCCTTTCTACATGTTTCTTCATATGCACAAAGAATCTTCATTCTGATTGCAATGCGACATTACTACTCTTGCAATTCTCATTCCACAACTCATAACGCTGTTTAAATGTTTAAATCATTACATTTGGTTCTTTAGTAAACAAAATTTTTATTTCCTCCACTACTATTTATAGATTTTTTTTTCTATAGGGGAGTCAAATTCAACTACATTAAATTAACTTCTTATGAAATGTGTTTCATTCCTCAAAGTTTTATCCCCCATATTTTATAAAGTTTAATCTTTTACTGTAAGTCATAGTGATTCATATATCTATTGCAATTTCTATTTGCTATTTTAATGACTTTTTTAAACTCTATTAAAAATTACAGTTAAAATGATTGAAAATATTTCTTCTCTTTTATCCCTTGATACAAGTTTTTTTATATACTTTTTGAAAAGATTGATTGCGGATTGTGCTATACAATAATAAATATGTAATAATTAATACGGAACCAATGATGAAGTTTGTTAAAAGAACTAAACATATTTCTCTCTTGATTGTTTTCTTAGATACAAACAATTTTTATGTCATTGAACTCTTCCAAAATACACTATAACAAAATTAATATTTTTTATAGACAACAAATATGCACATTAATGAAGAGGGTTAGAGTCTTTACCGACATTAATTAATTGTCATTAAATTCAATATTGTTATACACTTTAGGACATTTATAGAGAGTACCAATTACCTCTAAAAATACATATTTAGCGACAGTTAAGTTATTAAATGTTGTTAAAGATCATTTTTACTGTAATGGTAATTCTTTATTTTGATAAAGTTTTTTGCTTTTTATAAAAAAAAGTGACTACTCTTTCTTTTGGATTATTTCAATTAAATTTACAAACACTAAACTTGAATCCAACCTGATAGACTATCTTTTTGAAAATGCATAATATATAAATATGCCATTTAATTTGATCTCATTTCACATTTATGCCCTCCTACTTTGGGTGTGCACAAGTAGACACTTGTATAAATTTGAATAAATAGACACAAACGCCCTAATGACATCCTAATGAAATTTTTTGTCCTACATGGTGTCCTACGTATATTGTGACATGTAGGATTCGTCTGTCTATGTGTTCAACTTTGTACAAATTTAAGTGTCGATTTGTGCACACTCAAAGTTTGAGGGCATAAATGTAACATGAAGTTAAGTTAAAGGGTATATTTATATTATGCCTTTTGAAAAATATGTTTACGAACATTCCTCTTTATTTTTGATTGCTAGAAAAGTAAGGTTGTCTTTATTAATATTTGTGGATATTTATGAGTTCACATGCTCACAAAATTATGTTGTGACATTTTAATATGTTATGTTTCAAAATTTTGATTTAGAATATCCCGTTATGAATAGTTTCATTTAGATGTTACCGACTGCTTGGTTGATAATTGCATTAATTCTTTGTAATTGCATATTGTAACGATAACGATAATTATGGTTCAATTCCAAATAAGTTGTGGCTGGTGATATGAAACCTAAGCAATAACAATGACTACGCTGAAACAATGAGAAAAAACATTTATAATAATAACAATTTTAGGGTCATTTTTAACAATACATAGACGTAATGTTCCACTTTACTTGAGAGTGTTGTTATTATAAACTTTTTGACCTCTTTATAAACTTGTGATGTTGTTCTTTGTAAATTTTTTTAAATTTAGCAAATATTATTACTTCTGACCAGCTCTTTCTATAGAGATTTTTTAGACTTCTTTCTTATACTTAAAATCTGTCTATGACTCATAATTTTTTTTTATAATAATACTAAAAATTAAAAAATATAGCATTTTAAGATTTCGAAAAGACACTTTTCCTAAAGATAAAATATTCTTGATAATGTAATTTATATATAAAAATATAAATATTATCGAATAATTATATATAAACTTAGCGAAACACAAATAATTTACCTAGTATATTATGTAAAGTAACTGAAATCATAATGTTAGTCTACTCAAAAATCTGATTTGCAAAATTTAACTGCACTGAGCCTATGCTTAATTTATGTATTCAAAATCAAGTCTTTTTAACTTTCATGAACATCTTACTCTCCCCTATAAAATTACTTTTAAAATATTTATAATATGAATTAGTAAAAAAAATATAAATTCAACTTAAAGTCAAATTTTCTTTAACAAAAACAATTCCAAAACATAAACAAAATTTGAAGATATTGAAAGTGAAGGTTTGAGATTGAAATAACTTTTAAAATTAGCCAAAAGAATAAATTAAAAAAGCAAACTGAGATATGCTTTTTTTGTAACCTTTTTAAATTAGTAAATTACTTTTTATAAGCTAACCAAAAAAATATTTATTTGTAAATTATTTTTTTTCTCTTACAATAAATATATGTTGAATTTGTTAAACCCAGCGAAAACACAAAGCCAAAGATGAACAGCCAGCAGCCATACCACCAGCCGGCTACTCTAGAAGAAGTGCGTACCCTTTGGATTGGGGATTTACCATACTGGGCTGACGAGTCCTATCTCCATAGCTGGTTTGCTCACACTGCTGAGGTCACTCTCTTTTCTTTTCCCCCATTTTTTTTACTCTACTGGTGTTGTTTTTATGTTTATTATGAATTTTTGTTTGAATATGTTTATCTGGGTATTTTTGATTTTCGCTTAAGTAGGGAAAAAAACAAGTCTTGGGGCTGGTTAATGAGTGTTCCTTTGAATTTTTGAAGAATCTGTGGAATTGTGATGAATGGTCAAATTTTTGGTAGTTCTTTAGTAGTGTTAGTGGAGAATAGCATATGAGAAAAGGAAAAATAAAGATTGAGGTTTTGAGTCCTCCTTACATGCTATGATTGGTATTGTTATGTTTGAGAAATTTAAAAGGTTGATTAGTGGTGTAAAAGGGTGGCCTTTGATTTGTGTGTGTGGAAAGAACATAAGTTGAAAATTTAAGAAGGACTTAAATCTTTTTTGTACAAGTTGGTGGAAGCTGGTGAAATATAGGACACTTTTAGTGATGGGATGAAAAGTTAAGAATGACATGGTTAGATGAGAACTGCTCCCTTATCAGTAACAAAGGGCAAAATAGGTGTGCTTCACAGAGCTAGTGTGATTCGACTTCAAAGAAGTATGTTCTTTTTCGGATAAGGTGCAAATTAAGGTGAGGCTGAACTGCTTGTATCTTCATGATATGTAGCCTTAGTCTATCAACAAAGAAAGGGGGTAAAGAAATAAGACGTCACCTTTGATGTTGGGAAATTTTCTGGTGTAATGACATAAGTGGTTCTTAGAAAAGATAATGTTTAAGCCGAAAGGACAATACCTGCCTCTTTTACATCTTCTTGTTAGAAATTCTGAAAGAAATCTAGTATAATTTATTCAAGAGTTTCAATAACTAAGCTATCAATTTTTCTGGTTATGTTGAGCCCTCCTTCCGTGCTATGGTTGGCGATGTTTGAGAAAGTAAAAGGTTGGTTGGTGGTGTAAAAGGGTGGCCTTTGATTCGTGCGTTTGGAAAGAACTTAAGTGGAAAATTTGAGGACTAACTCGTTTTCGTACAAGTTGGTGCTTTTCGTGAGAAGCTGTTGAAATGTAGAACACTTAGTGATGGGATTAAAAGTTTAGATTGTGACGGTATGCATGAGAGCTATCCCATGTCTGAGAACTGCTTGTTTATGAGTAACTAAGGTTTAGATAGGTGTGCTTCACAAGGTAAGTATGATTCGACTTCAAAGAAAATTGTGCTTTTTTAGGTTAAGGTGCAAATTAAGGTTAGGCTGAAGTGCTTGCATCTTCATAGTATGTGTTATAATGGTAGAAATTAGGCATTTGTCAAAAGGTGTGAAAGAATTCTGAGGGGCTTTCATGGCTAATTTTGGAGGAAGGCTGGTGGAGCTACGATAGAGCTTACAATTGCATGGTGTTTCAATGGAGGAAGGAGATGAGTTGGACATGGGAAAATTTTTGGTGGGATTCAGTCCAATTAGAGATTAGTTAGTTCAGCTAGTTTTCCATTAGTCAATAAAGGCAAAGTTAAGCCACTTTATGATGGCATGGGTAGTTTTGCCACCCCCCCCCCCCCACCCACACACACTATCAGTGGAGGGCATATGTGGATCGTTTCACATAATTTAGGGGGGAAGTTTGTATCTTCGGGGGAAGGGGACATTAGAAAATCCTAGTTCACTTTCTTAAAAAGAAAAGTTATACCTAATTAATGTAGTTAAACGTTTGGTAAGTACATCTTTTGCTCTTTGTAGTACCAAATACTTAAGCTGTTTTATGTAATGTGTAAATGACTCCACATTACTGTCACAAGCTTCTCCTTTTCTTTGACAATCATGTGCACTTCTACTTTGATTCGAATATCATAGTTCATCATGCTACTATAATGAAAAGGTTCAATTATAGTCTTATGCTTATTCAATTTAATTTCATGTTAATAACCAATTTGATCTCTCCAGGTGCTCTCAATAAAAGTTATCCGCAACAAAATCACTGGCCAACCTGAGGGCTATGGATTTGTGGAATTTGGTGCACATGCAGTTGCTGAGCGGATTTTGCAGTCGTATAATGGAACTCAAATACCGGGGACAGAGCTAACTTTTAGGTTAAATTGGGCATCATTTGGGATTGGAGAGCGTCGTGATGCTGGGCCAGAGCATTCTATATTTGTTGGAGATCTAGCTCCTGATGTAACAGATTATCTATTGCAAGAGACTTTTCGTACTCACTACCCGTCAGTTAGAGGAGCGAAGGTTGTTACTGATCCGAATACTGGCCGCACAAAGGGATATGGTTTTGTTAAATTTGCTGATGAGACAGAACGAAACCGTGCCATGTCGGAAATGAATGGGATGTATTGCTCAACTAGGCCGATGCGCATCAGTGCAGCAACACCAAAAAAGTCGAATACTATCCAACAACAATATGCAGTAGCAAAAGGTAATTCAGAACTGCAATTTAGTGTGTAATAGGGTTTATTAATATTTAAATCCAACAATAAAGTAGTGCTATATGATTGTGGAAATGACTTCACGTATTCACACACACACAAAATGTTATTACTAGTTAGGGGAGGGGATAGTACATACTAGATTCTATTCCTCACCAACTGGCTAAGCATGAGGTACTCACATTCATCTCGAGTCCATATGACTTTGCAGTATGAATATAGTTCTTTTTTAATAACCGAGAAATCCCTGAGGGCCAGTGAATAATAGGCCCTCACCTTTATGAGATTACATTTCATAACTTAAACCCATAAAATTCTAAGAAAGTCTATGAGAGTATCATCCTTGTCTACAAAGTTTCAGATTAAGCAACATAGCAAGTAAATACAAACATTTGTACTTTACAATATAGCACTTAACCTTTTCTTCCAGCATCTTTGTTTCCTTTCTTCTAACCATGACCCATAAAATATTTGCTGGAATAGTTACTCTATCTCTTAAGTTTTTTCCTGCTGATGCACCTTCAATAACTTAATAGAATAATAATTATCTAGAAAGGACATCAGATGTATTGGTGGACGCTCAAGTCGTTCCTTGGAAGATTTGTGTAGCATATATAGATGCATTGATCTTTTCATTTTATTTATGTTCCTCAGTACACTAAACACTGAATTTTGGTTTTGATGCAGCAGTATATCCCCCTGCCGTTTATACTCCAACAGTGCAGACTATCCCTGTAGATAATGACTTGACTAATACAACAGTAAGTTAGTAACTTGGAATGCGTCCCTCATATTTCAACTTCTCTTCTGATGGTATTTGCTTAACTGCAGGTTTATGTTGGTAATCTGGATCCTAACTTAACTGAAGAGGAACTGAGACAAGTATTTTTGCAATTTGGTGAAATTGTTTATGTTAAGATTCCTGCTGCCAAGGGCTGTGGTTTTGTGCAGTTTTCGGCGAGGTATCTATCTTCATGAAGCTTTTACTTTTATAACAAAAGGGGGGGGGGGGTAAGTGTATTGATCCTGTGGAAGTTGATGTAATAGTTGCCTATCACAGTTGATTGTATGTCTGCCTTAAAATAACTTCTCCAGTCACTAAAAAGAGTTACAGAACAACGAGAAAATGTGAGGGATCTTGAATATGACAAAAGCGTAGAGATATTGATTCTTTGGCTCTTTATTTCTGAGTGTTCAAGTTTTTTCCCTTCGTATTCATTATACAGGCCATCTGCTGAAGAAGCAATCCAGAGAATGCAGGGTGCTGTGGTTGGTCAACAAATTGTTCGTGTTTCATGGGGTAGGAGTCCGACAGCTAAGCAGGTGAAAATAATCCTATAAATTTTCATTGTTAGCTTTATTCTTTAGAATCTTAGGAAGATTTTATTCATGATATGGAATTGTTGCATGAGTCTGACAATAAAAAGGTGAAAATAATCCTGCATATTTTTATTGTTAGCTACAGAGTTGTCTTTAGGATCTTAGGAAGGTGTCTTAGGAATGTCACAAAGATGTTTCTAAGGAAGTAGTTTTATCCAGAAAATTAAGAGTTTGCTTTTGTACTTTTCATTTTTGGTGTAAAGAAGAACTTGTACGAGATATAGTTCCCTGTTAGACATCATTGGATCCCTATAAGAGGAACAAGGATGTATATTTTTGCTTGTTTTGAACTTGTAAATATGGCTTCCAGCATAGCCTGTGTTGAAGATTCATAATATTGTTACCTTTATCAAAAAGTAGAGGTTATCTATGTCATGAAATTGTTTGAATGGTAGTAACTATATTGATTCACTAGCCATTTAAAATGAAATTGAGAAGTCTTTCAGGCAATGAACATCTAGTTAAAGGTAAGTGGTGATTGCAACAAATTCGTTGTTAGGCTTTGAAAAAGCAGTACATTTAAGATACAAGTTCAATAATTACCACAAATATTAATAAAATCTTGTGTTCTATATATGGATCTATACATCGTAGATGTTTGTGTTATGCGTGTACATTCAAGAAGCAAACTGTAGATCTGAATTGCTTGTATTCCATGAGTTATTAATTGTCTAACATGTGAAAAATATGGTGCTGTCTTGTAGGACGCTGGTCTATGGGGTCAGCCTGCTGATCCGAGTCAATGGAATGCTTATTATGGCTATGGACAAGGTTATGATGCCTATGCTTATGGAGCCACCCAGGATCCTTCACTATATGCATATGGTGCATATGCTGGTTATACGCAATACCCTCAACAGGCAAGTTTTTGCTCATTTTTCTTATTCAGGCCAATTCCTTACTGTGCAATTATTGATTATGATGAGAAGCTAAATGATGAAGCTACATCATGAGCTTATCTGCCAAACTTTGTTGGCATTCTGGAATAGCTAATAAGATCATTGCAGTCAATAAAATAGTTGCAACTATATTGGACATAAACTTTAAGTTCGAGGCATCAAATTAGATACTTTATTTCATAGTCTGTCACTCTTCAGAGCTGTGTCGGGCAGTCCCAGGATATTGCTTCTCTTTGGTCTAGGTTTCCTCATTTTGCTGAACAGAGTGATAGCAATTACCCGGAAGCAAGGTAGCTCAGTTAATAGAGCTCCTTGTTATATATAGACGAATATTTCAAGGCTTCTCAGCTTAGAATCTGAAAAATGGGATTTTATTGAGTCCACGTCTTTCTTCAGTTCTTTTTAATGATTTTTGTCTAAAATATTCACGGATCTGCTTAGAATAATGTGATTTTATCAAGGAATCCATGTCTTGCCCAATTACTTCATATGCTTTAACTGAAGTATTTAGGGAAGTTGCAACTTCTTCGAATCTCTTATCATCTTCATAACTTCTGCTCTGGCTGGTTCTTGATTCCCCCCCCCCCCCCCTCTTTTGACTTCTTTTTATTTATTTTTTGCTTGCAAATGTTAAGGCTGGTCTATCTTAGACTAGTTACACAACTAAGAGCCTGATCAGGGCCTATTGCATCCCCATTCTGGCATCCCCCAGGGCACATGCATGCACAAACAAAACTGATCTTTTAGAAGGGGTGGAAAGTGCCTTGCATGTATTCCTCCTCAGGAACACTCTCTTCCCTGAAGTTTGATGTCTCTTTCATTAACAAACATTATGTTAGTAGTTGACGATAATTCATTGGTGCATTCACAGGCTGTACATGTGATGATTACACTGTCAACTTTCTTTTCCTTTCTTGATAACCTGTTTCTGGAAATATTATTTGTATTATCTCTTTTAACTGGGTCATATTTGAATGAAATATTTTGTAGTATGTATTTATCTTCTGACGATACATAGTCAATCGTTCTGGTGTAGGCTGAAGGTGCTCAGGACTTGGCTTCCATGACTGGTGCTCCTCCAATTATTGAACAAAGAGAAGAGCAGCATGATCCTTTGGCTGTGCCAGACGTTGACCGGTAAACGTTGCATTTGCAGCTTCTTTTTGTGTACTTTGATCTCTTTAGGTGCTTGGTTAGACTTTGCGGATGAAAAGAAAAACTTCTTCTCTGTCCTCCCACCTGCTTTTAACGCTCAATGTTTTCAAATCTAATGATAATTGTTTCTTACGACAGGCTAAATAATGCTTACCTTTCTGTCCATGCAAGCACAATCTTGGGCCGGCCATTGTGGCAGAGGACATCATCGTTTTCGCAAGTATAGAGTTCACCGTTACAGAGATACTGTACCTGTTTGAATTAAGTTCTTGTGGTGTATGTTTATTGGAAACAAAGACTTGGCCAGCCTTCAAAATGCATGCTGCATTTCAGTCTAACATGCTTATGCTACTTTCTGAATTGTTCCTTCAAAATTTCCCTTTTTTATTTCTTCTTATTTCCAGTGTAATTATAGCCTTGGGGAGTTGGGTGTCTTTCAGTTATCACTAGCCATAGGCTATCTTGCCTTCAGCACTCTACTTTTCTCAACAGCCAAGAGATGTCTATATTTGTATGCCTGTGGATGACCAATTAACATGGAGGAGATGTGGAAGAGTGTATTTTATGCAAAATGAGATGCATACAAATGTACAATCGTTGTCCTATGATCATTTACTATAGATAACAAGTATCTTATGGCAAAAATATTATAGATAGAAAAATTTCTTCCTCAGTTTGATTCTGAATTTGATTAGTACTTAATTGTCAGGACCCAAATTTGGTACCTAGGCTGCTATAGGACACCTGACAACCTATTACTCATAAGGTGAAACTCTCTTAAGTTAAGATGTGCAACAATTACGAATTGAAGGAGGATATTGTCCCCAACTCTATGTAGATATAAGTGTGAAAGTTCATGTAAAATATAAGTCTGTCTAAACTATTCCTAAGTATACACGTTATGGAGCTAATTCAGGTATTCTACTCGTAACTTGTACATGTATTAGTTATTCAGAATTCTAGATTGCAAACCAAACGTTGCATTAATATTATATATGAGTAACTTACATTATTACTAGCTACCTGATGTAGGTAGATATGGATAACTGACCTCTTTGCTGGCTGCCAAACAACACCTAAGTCCATTAAGTAATGATCGTCATTGATCTAAGTCTACTAGATAATTGTGATAAAGAATCAGCATTACATACACTACACTGCATATCATCTATTTAATATTGGTTCTTTGCATTTTATCATATTGTTTTGGTTGAATCTCTGCATATCCTCTATATATGCTAATCTGAGCATTGTTATGCTGTTCATATAGATTTAGCTTGTATACTGTTGAGTGGAACATCATACAACAATTACCATATAAATGTTAATTGACATCTAAAAGTATAACGAGATCATACTCTACTACAACATGACCAACTACTCCCACACAGTTCCACATGTTTGTCGTCATCTTTTCCTATCAGTAATGAATTGACAAACAAACAAAAGTTTGGGAGAATCACTGCTTGAATTCACTTCTTCTTGGCACTTCTAGCACATTTGATCACCAATGATCATAGAGCGACCACTCAAAGTGAGTGCCACTTCCTTCATTAGGACTTGAGCTGTGGATAATACTGATCAAACACACTCGGCAGCTCTTCCAGAATGGGCAATGAAAGTGACAGTTTGATCATCTTTTCATACAGATGCTTAATTCTCCAAGTTAATTCCATTCCTCAATAGTACCACGATATCATGCTGGAACCGCCAAACTTTTCTCTATGCCCGTGAAGCCGTCTTGCATTGTTGTTGAGGGACCCTTGCCTGAAGTCCAACAGATCGCATTAGTTGTCTAAAGGTAAGTATAGCCAGATGAACTTGTCCAAGCCTCATAAAGAGTAGTATTATAAACTGGGTAAATAATGTGGAACAGAATATGTTGTGTAACCAGGACTTATAACGGAATTAATCAACATATAGGATAACACATGGCAATACATTTTCTCCACGTTTGTGACTACAGAAAACTTCACGGTACTTGGTGGATATTTATGTGATCTGCTAAAGAATATTCATGTGACTCCTAGAAACTTATTTGGAGATACACCAGCTACCTAGAGAAGTATATTCTCTCTATTTATGAAAAGATGCAGAGAAATTATCATAGTTTTTTTAAATAAGGTAGATTTTTAACTTGTATAAAGAAGTGCCTCAACCAATAAGATCTAGCAGAGGATAAGATTGAGGAGGACATTGAACTAGACATCCATCGGCTCAAACATCTCTCACACATGACTGTTTTCACATTCATGGCAGGAATAGTGCATGGTTATTTGACGCACATCAAGTGAGTGTAAATTGCAGTCATAATTTGCATTAGAACACAAAAGGGAAAGAAATGCATATATGTGACAAAAGTTGACAAAAAGGTATCATTATTTCACGAAAAAACGAACCAGCACTCTTTTCTATTTTTCTCCTGCTGCGCCACAAAAGCCGAATTGGAGTGCCTGCAAACCCTGCACTTGTCCTCAGTTGCTTTTCCATGTAACGACGGTATGTCTCAGGAAAGAGTTTTGCATCATTAACAAAGAAGACAAATGTAGGCGGTCGGATAGCAGCCTGTAAAATAAAAGCAGAAGGTGAGTTTATTATGTTTTAAATACAACACACTTGCATACCATGCCATGTATGTTAATGTCACTTCTGTTAAATCTATTTCCATTTTAATGAGCATCAAAAATAAGCGGTAGCCAGCTTCGAAGTAAACCGCTTACAGTAGTTATATGTTTTTTCTACTTTAAATAACAATAAAAGGATTTTTTTTGTGCTAGCAGGTAGCCATTCTACTACATGTTTGTCAATTATACATCCTCCAACATCCAGAGCGCAAGTTTTTGCTCGAGTAGAAAATAGTAAATGTCAAGCATCTTCCCAAATGAAATTTACCTGAGTGCTATAATAAACACGCCCTCTTTTTCCACCTCTAGTCCTAGGAGGTGCTTTAAAAGCAACAGCTTCTCGAACAACTTGATTCAATATCGCAGTAGTCAATCTTCTTGATCTCTCTTTTTCCACCGCAGCAGCAGAGACAATGATCCTAGAATATAACAACAGAACAACTATATATAACAAAAAATATTTTAAACAGGATTAAATCTTATACGGAAGGTCATTAGTGAGACCAAACAAATGCTTCAGTGAAAAAAAAGCTCTCCATTTCACTTCCCCTTGAGCTATCCCTTGCTGGTTTTTTGTATTTATGAAACAGTTGCTTCATTTTAACCAGCTCTCTTAATATGTTTCTGACTTTTCTTACTCCAACGAAACAGAAACAAACATCTTATAACTCTCCACCTTAATTTTGCATACAAGTCACATCTCCTCAAGCATTCAATGCATTCCATCTAGCATCCCATTTACACTAAACATCACATCAATCTATTGCATGATGACGTCACATGGGATTACCCAAAAAAGGGCCTATTTCTTAAGCTTTTTATTACTTTACTACCATTAGTACCTCGATTACTACTCCTCGAGTTATCCCTTAAATGTTTTTGAGCTTTAAGCTCTGAAATACATAGTTTCAGTTGTATTACAGCCGCATTAAGCTCTGAAATACCTAGTTTGAGTTGTATTACAGCCGCATTAAGCTCTGAAATACATAGTTTGAGTTGTATTACAGCCACAACAATAACATGATATGCCGGTATTTTATTCCTTCTCGTCAAAATATGAAACAACACATCTGATCTTCTGTATTGAATACAGATGCCAAAGTCTATTGCAACTGTTTTTTGTCTGAAATGTGGCAATAAATTTGTAAAGCAGAGATGAACAAGTATAAACAAAGAAATGGATGGAATAAGGAACATACTTTTCAACACTGTGCCCAGCTATAGCTGTTGAATACACAATAGGTGCCCAACTCAGAGAACGAACCTTCCGTCTAACATCTTCCTCATAAAATATAGTAGTTTCTTGGTTCTTGTTTGGGATCGTATCCCACTTGTTCACAACAATGAGGCAACCCTTCCCTTCTCTCTCTATCCTTTCTGCAATTTTGCAATCCTAATAATTGCAAGGAAACAAAAATGAGTTTACATGTCAATATTCATGTAGCCACACTAAGAGCACAGATGGAACTACTCTTTGCCTATTACTAAAGAATGACGTATGCTCATTGCTGTAGCATGTGCATTGGTTTGGAGAAGTTTCTTAAATGAGAACCCCAAACGAAAAAAAGAAGTCCACATATTACTAATATTTGGATTATCTAAATTATTCAGTATGCATATTGGTCCAGAAAAGAAGAGCAAAAATATAGGGTAAAAGTCAATAATACTGTGGATATCTCGAAAGCATCTTTATTCTTTAGAGATCTTTCCCCTAATGCGATATAAGCTCCAGAACCAGCACAACCCACTTGTCCATGCGATTTGATCAGATGGTCATCTCAAATGTTGAATAGTTTTTTGCACTTGAAACTAAAAGATGAGCTTTAAAATATTCTTCTCTTATGGGACTAACACATACTAAATGGATTATGCCAGAGAATACAGCAGATCTACTAAGCTGCTGGATCAGCAGAGGGGAGAGAAAAGCTAAAAAATGGTGGTGGAGCAATAATACCATCATTCATTTGGTGGTCTATTTGGAAAGAAAGAAATAGCAGATGCTATGAAAACAAGGCTAATTCAATAGAGAAAGTCATATGGAATTGTTTGATTACTTCTTATTTTTGGTGTGAAGAGGAAGGGATAGAAGAAGTTGCACAATTTTTTGGATTTTATAGGCACTTTGTAATCTATTAGCCTTTTTTGTTTTTCTCTTGTAATCTATTAGCCTTTTTTGTTTTTCTCTTGTTGGGAACCAATTTTTGGAGGTCTCCAGCATATCCTTAATGCTGAGGAATACAACATCACCTTCTTTTTTTTTTAAAAAAAAGGATCATAGCATGAATAAACAAATGCTAAGCCTCATGTGACAGAATAGGACAAAGTTCAAACTTCAGGTACAAATAGTAATGTTAAAGGCACAAGTTAAACTAAAACTAAATGTTATGTTTCACAGTCCTTGAATATCTCACAACAGTTCCTCCCGTTAAGCTTAAATTTTACTTATGAACTCCTTCCTGAAACTCAAATGTACCTGTTCAGTGATGCAAGCCATAGCTTCAATAACAAGAGCCACAACATCTGACCGCCGAATCGCACGGAATGCTTGATTTACTGATAAAGCCTCTGGTATGCTACCCGATGAAGCCACTGCAGTCTTTTTTCTTATTCCAGCAGTATCTATAAGCCGAAACTTCTGCAGAAAAGGATCATTAAATTGAAAGTTTCCAGTCAACTTCAGGTGATAAACCAGGAAACTCCGATCTTATGCCTACCATTTTTATAGAACTTATGCATCAAGGAAGGGAAAGAATGTTAGCTCTGTTCCATATCCCAATTGCTTTTATAAACAATCCTCTCTTTTATTTCATTTGTATTTCTAGTGTAAAATGAATGTAGCATATTATTTAATGAGATTTACAGGTGGCATAACAATTGCTTGCCACATTATGCACTTTGGTAAAGTTGACCCACTAATTGTGTGGTATCAAAAAAATATTTGCTCTGTTACATTAACCGTTCAAATAGAATGGGTAGAGGTTTAAGTGCAGAACAGTCGTCACAGGTCAGCATACAAGAATGTGATCAGGTAG